AAGGGTGGGGGGTCTCCCCCCTTTCTCGTATTATGCTGCGTGTTTTCCGCTAATGATAATCTCTTGTGGCCACTTGCGTGTGTTTTCGGGTGGGGGAGGGGGGACGATCCCATTTTCTGTGCGTTTATTTACCTTGAAAAGGGGAGAAAATTGCATGTCATAGCCAGACGAGCTGGCAGGCAGCATTTCCCATAACAATAGCATCTATAGATTACATTATTCGCAGAGAACGGGGACTCGCCAGGAGAATTTTTCCCTTACGAATTTAAAATGTATTTTTCGTAGGAATTTAAAGTGTATTTTCCCAACGAATTTAAAGGGTATTTTCCATCCATTGTTCGCGTAAAATGAGTAATGGCGGCTGGATGGAATCCCCTAAAATCCCCTGGAATCCGCAATTCCATTTTTCCCCTCGCAACAAAAAAACCGAGACACCCGTGAAATCCGAACGAGGCCACAACGGCCGCCATGCGGACCGGAGAGAAATTAACCTGTATAAATAGGAAAAAAGGTATCTGGTTTCCTGGCATGTATGCCGCGATAAATGGGGCCGGGAGGTATTTCCGGGGTGTCTCGCCGGGGTGCACACGTATAAAAGGGAACACACCCTTTTTTTTATATTTTCCCCCAATACCCCCTCGGCGACTCCACTTCCTGGCTTTGTTATGCCCTATCGGGGGTTTGATAAGCCGGAAAAATATCAACTCCCATTACGCCCTCATTCACGTGCACTTCATTTCTGTTTTTTTTTTTTGTTATTTTTTTTTTTTTTATTTTTTTATTTTATTTAAGCCGGAAAAATATCAACTCCCATTACGCCCTCATTCACGTGCACTTCATTTCTGTTTTTTTTTTTGTTATTTTTTTTTATTCTATTTTTTTATTTTATTTTTCCGCAGGCTTTAACGTCGTCTCTGAGCCTCTGATCCCCATTCCTCGCTCTCCCCCTGCGTGTGCCGTGTCACCCTTTCCTTGTCACCCTTTTTTCGTCACCCCCTTTTCCCCCGCACGAAATCATCTTCACCCAGCACCTGTTTTAGTTCAAAAAGTGGTGGAATTGCTGACTGCATGTTTTTTATTTCCGTGTGGTGACGGAGCCTTTGGTGACTAATTGCGTGTCTCTCCCTTCCTCAGACTGCTAAAAAGGCCTTGCAAATTGCAGCGGAGTATAAAGTAAGACCCACTCGCCCTTCTTTCACCCTTTTTTTCCCTCTCGCATGAATTTCGAACTTTTTTTTAGGAGTGAATAAGCTCTAACGACTCGATTCGTGTGGATCCGTAAATGTTTTGATTCTTCCAGCTGTCTAAATGTACATATGAAAATTAACCATTTTTTTTTAAGTCTTGAAAAGTAAATAGTAAATGAAAAGCGGGGAATCGTTTGAAAGTTTCACTTCGAAATGCTGAAAAACCAAGAAATGAAAATTGGACGTGTCCCTTGAAGCGATGCCCGTTCCGAGTCTCCGTCGATGTTCTGGCTCGACAGCCTCAACATTGTTCTCGACAGGGCGTGGCGCCATCGGTGAGCGCGGCTCGAGTCCAAGTAACGCTGGATTTTATTATTTTTATTTTTTATTTTATTTTTGAGGGAAGGAGGAGCTGCGAGTCATCCCAGCTGTTTGTGATCGAAAAAAAAAAATTTTCGGGACACGCTGGCGTCTGCAGAGGCAAACGAGGAAAAAGAAAAGGCTCGACAAGTTCGCTGAGTCCGAGGGGGAGCGAATTTCCATTTCTTGGTTTGACCGAGGTTACTAAATGGGTTTGACCGAGGTTACTAATTGGGTTTGCCGCATTCCCCGGCCGAGGTGAAACAATTATCGTGGGAGGAGCTTTCGTTTGCTTTTGCTTCCGTTTGGCGCTGTCATCGCGTCCTTGCAAAATTGGGTCAACGAATTCATGTACCTTCGTAATGTGCTAATTTTGAGGCAGAAACTTCTCATCGACGAAAATTAAACGTAGAATAGATAAACGGTCGGGGCAATCTTCTCTGTTCGCTCACTTGCCGCCGAAGATCGATAGCTCTTGAAGGCCCTTCCAACTATCCTTCAACGATCCTTCGACGATCCTTCGACGAAGAAGCTTTAAGAGACTTTTTTTTTTTTTGTCTGCAGACCGGGACTCGACACAACCCCCCTCCGCCTCAGTCCCATCTGTCGCAGTGAGTTTCTCTCTCCGTCTTCCGGTCTCTAATTTAATTCGAGCAGGAATCGAAAGTCGATCGAAAAATAACGACTTTCGTCTCGACGCTCGGACGATTTCGATTTCTTTGCAATCGCGTTAGACATTTTCGAGCGAAACATGGGGTTCGAAAGTGGGACGGGCATGTTTCTAGGGCCCTGTGGAAGGAGTTGGCCGGCTACGAATCCGACTCGACCCTCGTGTTCCGCCGCAAGGAGGATCTCTCCTCGTCCCAGGAGGTGGAACCGGGGCAGCAGAAGCTATGGTACCGGGAGGTCCAGCGCGGCGGGGAAGTCCCGCTCACCGGGCTGCGTAAACCCGCGCCCGAGAAACCTGCAGGTGAGGTCACCGAGTCTGCGACGGTGACGAGCATGTTTTTTTTTTTTCCTCCCGTGCACGCTTTTGATGATGTCACCGTGTTCCACATCTGCAAAAAAAAATATCCAGTTTTGTAGCCGCATGCTTTTGAAATCGTGCCTGACGTTTTTTGCAAGGCGGTATTCACGTCTGAGATGATCGTGCATGGCGATCACCGGATCGTTCGTTGAAACCTCTTCAGTTTCTTGTCCTCTTCTGTCACTTCGTTTCCTCACTTCTTGCCTCCGTGCCCCTTCACCGATCTGTTCTTCCCATCACCTTCCACCATCTGGATGTGTCTCTGCGAAGAGGAGCTGGCACCCGAACACGCACGCTGATATTGAATTTTTTTGTCGATCCCCGTTGGCATCCAAAAGTGATGGAACCAGGACCCCGGATGTGGATTTTTTCCCCTTTTCAGAGGAAGAAGCGATGTGGGGTGGGAACACGCGCGTGCATAGACACATCCAAACCTGGAATCCCCCCCTGCGTCGATCCCGCTCCGCCCCGTCTTACCCCCCGCTCTTCTCTCAGCTGAAGAGAACCTCGCCTTCCCGGGCCTTCAGTTCCCTTTCCCGGACCCCCGTGTCCCTGTCCTCGCTTAGATCCCCGTCGTTCGAGGCCGAAGAGCAGGCCAGGGCCGAACGCGTCGAACGCGAATACCGCGAACAGGTGCAGAAAATGAAGGACGATCTGGAGAACGCGGGACGGGAACCCGAACCGGAAAATCTCGTCCGCGTCTCGAGCAAAGCCATGTTTTCGTCGGCCGTCCAGGCGGGTCTCCAGCCCGACGACGTCGATTCGGAATCCAAGAGCCTCGAAGTCGAGGCCCGATACTCCCCAAGAGGAGTGGAGATGTACCCAAATGTGAAACAGGCCGCATCGAAGCCCGGCGCCGCAAAGAAAGACCGCCAGCGCAAAGACAACCCCGACGCGAAACGAAGAGCCCCCGTGAGGGAAACGAAAACGAGGAGAACGGTCGTGGAGTTGAAGGCGGAAGGACCTCGGAAAAGAGCCCGCTCCAGCTCGGCTTCCCGGTGTCCGGCCTGCAACCCCGACCTCGTGGGTGGCCCTCGGGGACCCTGCACCGAGAAACACCATCTGTCGAGGAAGAAACGCCCCGTCGCGACCAAGAAGACCGAGGACAAGCCTCCACCGCGATCCCGCGGGATCAAGACGACCAAGTTCACGGCCAGCATCAAGTCCGGAAGCGACGCGAATCCTCCGGTCCCCCCACCGAGGATGCAACGCCCGGTTTCCCCGGTCAAACGAGCCCTGTCTCCCCAGCTGAAGAATCTCGCAACCGAAACTTGCAGCCCGCGAAGCAACGAGACCGGATACGAGAGCATGCTAGACGTCTCCGCGTCTTCTCCGTCGCGGAGCCTCGTCTCCCAAGATTCTCCCCGACGGGAAGATTCCCCCCGGACTCCAACCCCAAGAACAGACGAGCAGCGACCCCCCCCAAGAACAGACGAACAGCGACCCCCCCCCGAGAACAGACGAGCATCGACCCACCCCGATCAACAAGTCAGAGCCGAGCCTGACCGCGTACCTCACCGAACGACGACCCGTCTCGGACTCCAAGTTCCGCGACCGCGATCCCCGCCCGTCCCGACGGATCATCGATTCCCTGAAGAGCACCACGTTGCCCCGAACCGGTTCCTCGATCGCCAACCGAGTCCTCTGCTTCGAAGAGTCCTACACCCCCATACCCAAATCCACGCTCTTGGTCCATGCAGCCAAAGATCAGATCGCCCGGAAGGAAGAACGGGAACGGAGACGGTCTCGAGACAGTTCCCCTTCGGTGGATTCTCAGGAATACCAGCGATACATACTCGAACTCTTCCATTCCACGCCCAAATCCGACCGGTTTCTCAAGCTGAAGAAATTCTACGCCAACTTGGAGAAGATCGCTCGAATCGAGAAGACCTGCAGCACTGCCGACCTCATCCAGCTTTCGAGAGAGAACATGATCGACTTCGAAACGTGGAAACGCTTCCGAACCGTGGAACGGGCTCAGGACGAATTGAAAGCACTTTACAAAGAACTGGACGAGGCACAGACTCAGAGGGAATTCCAGTACAAGGCCAAAGACCAGAAGTCCCTGCGGTGGCACGGAGACGTCAGCCTCAGGCTGCGAGACTCCTCGATGGAAGACCTCAAGGAGAAATTCGCCACGATGGAATTCCGGCGAGCCACCGTGAAGAGGAGACACAGTCACTTGGACACTTACAAGCCGTTGCTTCGCAGCAACTCCGTGCTGGACCTGACCCACAAGTACGACAGCCTCGAGCGCATGGCCAAACTCGAGAGCTACTGCGAGTACAGGCGCTTCTCCAACGAACAGCTGTACTACGATTCCTGGCCGGCCTCGATGATCACCGTGAGCGCGATGCGAGACGCTGAAATTTCGGACTTGAGAGTCCGAGCCGCCTCCGAGCCCCATCCGATGTCCCAGAAGGAGTCGAACGTCTTGAGCAAGTCTTCCTCCATCTCCTCCCCGAGGCACCTGGGGGACAAGGCCGCGACTCTCCCGGCGCCGACGAAGAAGCGCGACGATCCGGCGTGCAAGGAGGCGATTTCCGAGAGGGAAAAGCGGAACCTGTCGCGGAAACTCAGCGAAGAACTTCAGGAGAAATTCCAGAAACGAGCCCAGAGACACTCGGATCCCAGACCGGGAATGCTGGAGACTCCGAGGACGATGACGTCCTTCGCGTCGTCGGACGGTTCCGATCAGAGTTTCCTCAGCCAGGACAAGTCCAACTTCGTGCTGGTCCTGAAGCCACCCGGAGACGGGAAGGAACCGAATCTGTCCGACATCGAGAGGAGCGTGGACAAAGTCATCAACGGAGACCACAGCGAGAGTTCTTCGTCCGTGACTTCCGTGAGCACGGTCATCAACCGAGACGTCTTCTCCAAGGTTCGCTACTACGAACGGAAGGCCTTCAAGGCCAGAAAGAACGCCGTCCCCAAGGTCATCGGCCCCACCCACGGCGACGTTCGACGGCTGCGACATTCCATCGAGATGATCGCGGAGCGAGAGGCGGCCAGGACCCAGGACATCTACGGCACCCTCCCCCGTGGCACCGGGGGAAGGAGTCCGGAGGGAAAGAAGCACGGGCATTCCAAGTCCCTGGCGAGTCTCAACGATCTCGACCGCGACAGCCCGCCGGCGAACGGTTCCGCCGACCGCCACACGCCTCCGGAGCTCCTGCCGAACTACGTGCCCGAACGAACCGTGTCCACCCTGGACCTCTCGGGCGAAGCGGCGGAATACCCCGCCCCCTTCGCAAAAATGCACGAGAAGGTGAATCCGATCGGCGACTCCAGCGTGTTCGACGGCGAGAGCGGGGGCCATTCCCTGCCTCCCCTCGACGCGGAGTCCACCAAGTACTGGCGGACGTACCTGACCAAGGTGAAGGCCGGAGACGTCCGACGCCTCAAGGAGAAATTGGAGTCTCGGAACGTCATCTATCCTTCGCCCGTGGATTACCGGAGTCCGAGACACAGTCCGTCCTCGTCTCCCCATCGCGAAAAAGCCGACGTTCACAGTCGAACCGGGCCCATCGTGATCCGCCGACACGAAACGGCCGACGTCGATCGCCTCAAGTGGAAGTACGAGCACGAAGGCCGCGCTCGCGTGAGGTCGACGTGTAACCGGACGACGACTCTGAATCGGTACGATCGACCTTTCGTCCCGCGTACGAAGATCATCAGCAAGATCGTGGCGCTCCAACGTAGCAAGTCCAAGAGCCCGCCCAGAGACGGAACCTGGGAACAATATCGGAAACGCATCTTGGAGAATCGCGTCCTGCGAGGCGGGCTTCGAGGCGGCAAGGTCGGCCAACTCCGAAGCAAGTTCGAAGCGTTTTATCTCGCTCAGAACAAGGACATCTCCCTGCTCGGGCACATGTACACGTCCACCCCTGACCTCTGCGAACTCCGCGAGATCCCGCAGTCCATACGCCTCACGCGACCGTTCCGCGAAGACATGTACCGAGCCGTACCGGCCCAGGTCACGGACCGCGAACCGAGCAACCGCCGCAACCCGGTCCAGAACGTCGTCGGCCCCCAAACTTACTCGACGTTCGACCCGGCCAAGCATCGGCCCGTGAGCCGATACGTTCCCATCGAATCCTATTCCCCCCCGCTGAAGACCTCCACCCCCGTCCCCATGTACCACACTCTCCCTCGTGCTAACACGACGCCGGTCCCCACGTACCGCACCGTTCCCAGGGCTAACTCGACCCCCGTCCCCACCTACCACACCGTTCCCCGGGCTAACTCGACCCCCGTCCCCATGTACAACACCGTTCCCCGGGCTAACACAGGACGACGTCTCCCCTCTCCCGTCCATCGTGGTGTGTCATGGAAAGGTTGTCCCTTTGTTTTACTTTGTTTCTCTTATCTTTCTTCTTCCTTTCCGTATTCATTAACATTCGGTTTCCCAACGACCCTTTCCGTACCTTTATTTTTCTTCATTTATTTTCATAGCATCGTTTTTTGCCTCGAGTGTATATATCATATTTATGCTTTCTTTGTCGGGTGGAAGGGGTTTTGTATGTGGTGAAAAAATATTCTGTTTTTCTTCCTTCAGAGCCCTTGATCGGTCCCATCCCCACCCCCAAGTCCCAATCGTTCGGTAGCTTGCCTAGCGACTGCCGCCCGTTCGACAGAGCAGGTAATTCCTCGACCGGCTCTGTTCCCTTTTGAGAAAACCGGAGAGAAAAAAAAAATGGCCTTCCCACTTCTGTCTGTGTTTCTTCCCCTGCTCCTCCTTAGCTCTTCTGTCTCTCGCCATCTTTCCTTTTTTTTTCTTCTCTCACAACGACCCCGAGATGACCCTGACCCTTTCCGCTTGCTTCTTGCTTCCGCCTCCTACGTAACAAACGGCGTGAAAGACTCCTCGAAGCGGTTCGCCCGTTGCGAGAAAAATGTTAACCTGTTATTTCCTGAATCGCATGCACATTTTTCGTCGTAACCCTCAACAATTTCTCTCGATTGCGCTGTTTGCCATAGAAAGTCGTTCGTGTCTCTGTGTGTGTGTGGGGGGGGGGGGGGGGGGGAATTTGTGTCTTT